GCGGACTTACTTCTTCACTGCTGCCAGTTGTTGTTCCACATTACAGCTTACATACTGCTGTTAAGAGCCTCTTAAATATCTAATCTTCAAATGTAACTAATATGGAAAAGGTGAAGTCTATAGAAAAATGACATTTTATTGAATAGTTGCGCCATTATATTTACATCAATTGACTGAACGCAGTTGTTTGATTCAGAAATAAACATGCAACTCAAGCATTACAATTTTCACGGTACCAAGCGAAAATGGTACTGAACCAAGCTGATCCATTCCCATTTGAAGCAAATCTTCTGAGAAAACCCGTCTAACTAGAGCATAGAAGACCCGTCAAGTCGAAGTGTACACATTCGAAAAACAAGTACGCTAGGAAATACAAAATCCGCAGAGCAAAAGTCCATAACACACATAAAGTACGTTTTAATAAAAAATACAAAAATTACATGCCTGTTTTCACTCCAGCACATGAAACACGTCTTCTGAGGAATGAGTTCACGGTTACTCGTATTGTAAGCCGATCGTGATATTCACTAAGTATCTGTCACGTTCTTTAATGCCTTCCCTTCCGGCTCTGTACGGTTGTACGTTGCTGACCCTCCCACAGCTGTACTCGTCGTTCCCCTACGCAGCATTGTTTGCAAATAAATCTGACGACGGGAGCGGTTCCAATGGCGTCCAGCTGGGTTTCGCTTAACTTGTGCCCACACAGAGGACAGAACTGAAACAACTGCATCAGCATTTCCCCTTTGACTAGGAAATAGCGATGCAAAGCAGCTGGGTCCGACTCTTGGAGAAGTGTTGATTCCTGCACGTCATCAGGTACAAACTCGCCATTCACACTCTAAAAATAATATTTCTTCTCTCTCTATATATCTCTTTTATCCTACTCTAACTGACCATTTCAGAGGGGTACGTTGAATTCCGGTCGCTTAGCCCAGCCAATGCGTTCCCATTGACGCCACTGGGAGCAGGAATTAATAAAATTCCACCCATCTGAACAATGTTTTCATTAATATCAACCTAAATGGAGTCTACGAATCTGATTTGT